TGTTGCTTTGACTCTTTTTTTCTATATATAAAAAAAGACGTTCCTTTTCTGCACTATCTGGTTATGAATGAAAACTTCTGTGGTGTAATTCTAGATGTGCTTTTATGTGTTTTATCCAAGCTTGTCTTCCTGCCGTCACAGAATATTACAGTACTCTAGCATCTCGACTGTACTCAGTAGTTGTGAACTATTTATCGTGCTTTGACCAATCAGACATTACCAGAGAGAGGTTACCTACAGAGGGCACATTTACCCAGACTTATTGCACTCAGAAGGAAAAGGCCACTTAACTAGTCTGTACTATTGTTATTTCTAGTACTAACCCAAGTCATTGGCAAGCATGACGTGATAGGCTCATTATGCAACTTGAAAAAAAATTACAATTTTTCTACTTAAAAAATCCTATATACTACTACAGTATGTACAATCATTTATCTGAGCAAATCTATCTTTTCTTTTTCTTTTTTTTATATCCTCCTCCTCTGTCATTTCCCATTGGATCAGTTCATCTGGAGAGGGTGCACAAGCTTTACCAGTCAGCTCAGGCGTGTTGAAAACCTTGACATGGACCATTTGAATAAAACTCTGTCTTATTTAAGTTGGAAAAACACCAGTCTGGATTCTGATATTCTGCTTAGAAGCTGATTATTTCTGTTCTTTTTCCAATGTTTTAACTTGACAATTTATTTGTTTATTTGTCTGTAAAAAACAAGAAAAACAATAAACAAAACAACAAAAAAAACACATTACAAGTGCGACAGCAGCATTTTCAATTTAAATAGAAAAGAGAGACCGAAGCCAACATTCTCGAAACCACTTTTACATCTGAGAGGACATTCAGCTTTAAGAGGATGCTGAGACGCAGAGTTTGAAAATAATCTTTGTAAATATGCAGCAATGACAAACTCTATGCGGACTGGTGTGAAAACAGGAACTCTTCCTGACTCTGTCTCCCATCATGCACCATCATGAGTCTTACTGCCGACGCAGCTGATTGGCTGTGTGCGATCAATCACTGCTCCTGTCAGAAACACTTCAAAGCGCTCGTGATTACGTTCGAATGATAACACGATCTGTAACAACCCGTGATTATGTTGACGATGACTCTGTCGCTGATGATGATGATGATGATGATGACCATGATGATGCTGATGATGATAATGATGATATCAATGATACTTTTTGCAATATACTCTCACCTGCCTCGATGTACTGTATTTAGCAGCATGCAGTTTGTGGAACAAAGAAAAAGAGAAATGCCAACAGATAACACTTTGGCATACCATTTATGGGTAAGTGATTTAAGTGTTCATCTTGTTTTTATGATATTTTTTTTATCTATACAATAATTGTAAATAAAGAACTCAATGTCTTTGTTCATTTAATACTATGCAAAAAGTCATGCTTTTCTGATTGTTACCCACCCTTAACCCTGAGCGTGTTGCTGGAATGTTTATGGTCTCAAAAGTCAGTAAAAACAATGTGATGTAAATTATTTTCTAGCTCGAGGAAAAACATTCAATGATTATTATAATGGTATCATGAGGATGATGATGATGATGATGATGATATTTAATGGTGGTGACGGTGATGATGCTGATGATGATGATCATGATGAACTGTGACTCTTGCTGCTTGACTGTCCCATTTACTCCACTCCTGACAGGAGCGCAAGTGAAAAACATAATAAAAACCAAAAAAAAAGAAAAATCACTTAATAAATCTCCCAGAGCAGCATGACCCAGTATGATGTGTCCCTGCCGCGTGTCACATGTCCTGTTCTCATTCATTGTTCTTCATCAGACGCTCTGACTCGGGTTCTTCCTCCACTTTCACTCACTTGTTTTCAAGGGTTCTGATTGAGGCTAATGAATTTAGGTTTCACTTTAACTAGACAAAGAAGCTCTTGATGTAATACACCTGAAACCCAAGGGTCAGTAACATTTACTCCGATATACTTGTAGTTGAACCTGTGACAGGACAAACACACAACGACCAAAGACAAATCTGCAGTAATTTGAAATGAATAAGGACCACTGCATGTTCGAGGTTCATTTCCACCTTAGAAACCAAACAGATCTGCTATAAACTGAATCAACATTTAGCTCAGAATTATAATTCTGCACAAGTTGAACACTATCTAATGAAACATGTTCAACACGCAATGAATTATTGTGTTAATATTTTGCATGTGTCCGACCAACACTGATCAACTGTGTGTGACTGTAACAACTGGCATGTTCGATGTAATGTAAAGTACAGCAATTGGCTGATGGGAGTATCATTTTTGCATGGGCCGATAATGGCACCAGATAAAAAGGGAAGGGATCAACAATTGTTCTAGAGGGCGACGTAAAAACATTTTCTGACACTTTTAGTTCTGTAACCCAAATGTGGACCTCGAATCGGTGCTCAACAAAATATCAGACGTTCAACAAAGTCATCAGATTCACCTTCAAGGGAGCAATTATGTCTGTAAAAAAGTAGTTATTGGGAAACATCAGCGGAATCACACAGCTTAAGAAAAGAAAAAATAACGACTCATCCTTCCTTTCTTTTTTTTCTGGTGGCAGCGCTTCGTTTTGAGAAACCTCACATTTGCTCAGTTTGCTCAAACTCACACTGAGAAGCTGTCTGGTTCAACACCAGTGTGATCTGTGGCCGCAGGGCAGCAGCAGAGGATTAAGTCCTTTGCTCAAGGGCATCTCGGCAGTGGTAATGAGGGCCGGGCAAACATTCCTCCAACCAATTTGACCGTTTTTTTCTCATGTTGCCATCATCGTGCTCTCATACATTACACTGAGGGCCACAGACCATCACCGTGCTGCAGCACTACATTTATCATACACTGCGTCTAAAAGCTGCTTTAGGATTCTTATGAGCTGTAGTTTGGTAAAAACACATCAACGTGCTAAATATATTTCCTTGACTTGATGCCTGCAGCGCGCTAAAGTAGCTTTGTACAGAAGTGATCTCACCCAGTTAAGATGGGAAAGGGGGGTGGATGGCGTGTGAAGAACATCACAGAGTAGCTGCGGCTTAATCTCTCCTCATTTAATGTAAAGTGTGAGTGTGCGTGTCAGGGTGAGTGTGACACTGGTACGATTTAGAGCAACGTTTAACAGGAGAAGCACAAATCTGCAGAGCCTGTCGAACACAGAGTGGATGGATGCAAAATATAAATGCGTGTTTTAGTTTTGTAGCTAATCGATCTCTCCTCCTGCAGCAGTGACTAGTTTAATCAGTCAGACATAATTACTGCATGTTGTGGGTGATGACTGAGCTGGTTATATAACAAAGGTCATAGGAGAGGTTTTATCTTAGTGTGTGAGTCCACTGGAGGGCAGTATTTCACCAGACAAAGCTAACACCACTGTGACCGAGTTCAGATCCCTGGAAAGTGTCTCCTCATCGTCGCTGATCTTTTTTAGAAAACGACAAAGGTCATTATGATTCTCTCTCGTCATTTTCAGGCACTCAGACGCCTCAAGATTCTTATGAGTGGTGCAAAAGAACAGAGGAGACATTGGAATAAGACAATCCATCATCTCATTTCTCTTTATTAAGGTTTTATTGTCTCAGAGTCCAGAGCTTGATTAGCGATGGTCAGGACGAGAGGTTTCCACGTGAAATGTTATAATTCAGTTTAAAATGAATCTGGTAAAACTGTCTTAAATTAAACCTCAATGTTTATCTGACTAGTAACACA